CTTCAGCCTCAAAACCAAATTTCACTCTTATGCTCTTCATCCATCCATCACCATGAACACCTTCTCTACTTCCAAAAGGGGGAGAGAAGTCCCAAACCACTAACTGTGTGTTTACACTTTTATTTCCCTTTCAGACTCAAAATCAATGTAGCCTGACAATGTAAAACAGGGAAGTCTCCAGGGCAACTGAGTTGTCGATAGACTGAGTATCTGTTTTTCTAAAACCGAAGATGTGCCAGTAACCACGATTGCATTTTAAAAAATGAAGACCCTGAGATCAACAATTTGATACATACTTAAAATGAACTATTTACTCATTGGTCACAGTGAGGTTGTGTGTTTCTCGGGCACTTAAAGCCCTAAAATTGACCCAAAAATGAAAATTCTGTCACCATTTACTCACCCACATGTCGTTCCAAATCCTGTATTGTTTTCGCTCTTCCATGGAGCACAAAAGGAGAAATTTTGCACATCGTCGTTCCAACTCACCATGTTGAGATCAGTCATGGTTAACGTCAACCTGGCACGATTCTTGAGATGTTTGAATGTGTACAAATGTGAATGGAAGGGCAATCAGCTAATATCTGCAAAACAGGCTCATTGGAAAAACTCTTCCTGCTTTTCTTCCTACATTTTTGCAAAATTCTAAAAATGTACCTATACATACAAATGACTGCAGTTTCTAACTCAGCAACACTAATGGCATTAAAAGACCAAAGGCTTTTATTACTTTTCACACAAATTATGGTTACAGGACATATTATCAGTTAATAAATATTTATTTTTGCACAGTTCCTTGCACAATACTACTATGATACGACCAAAAAATACTTTTTTTGATGTTGTAAACTTGCTCGGTAGCTCACCTGGTACAGCATGGCAGTAGCTATGTGGAGCACTTGGGTATGAGTCTCATAAAAAAGACATGAGTCATGATAAAAATTCTGAAACATTTGCAGAAGTAAGCTATCATATCATTGCTGTCTCAGCAAATGTGGTTTCATAATATTTTTGCAATAGTTAACACTATCGGTCAGGTTTAGTGTGTGGTATGTTATTTTCAATTGTGTTAGAGCATTGGAATTGGAAATTTCACTCCTGAATTGCCACAATATGTACAGCAATCAGTGAAAAAAAAAACATTGCAAGATTCATATTCATTAGTTTCAAATAAATCTGAACACACCTTTAGCGCCACTCACTGGAAATTTCACTTTGAAAGTCATCATATAACTCAGCTAAAAATTTGCCACATGCATGTTTTTACAATAAGCCTGGGTTGAATTTCTTACATTTCAGTCGGTTCTTCACACAATGTATGGTGCAAGAGTCATGCAGGCTACTTTTATGGAGCTTTTTTGACTTCACTTGACTGAAGTGATGACACTGTCTAAATGATATTTTCATCTGTTAAACAAGCAGTGCCAGCACAACCGTTTATGAATCCTAGTTTGAACAAACAATGAATGGAACATGCTGAAACCTTAGTTGTTGTTTAAATCCTATAAATTCAATAACCTGAAAGAATTTCAAAAAACATTTAAAATAGCCCCAAACGGCGCAATCCTCAGCTTCAGCATGTTTTAAACTCACCCTGGAAATAAGTTCAAGTGGTCCTGTGCCAAAGAAATTCCAAAAGATGAATTTTTCTGTTCGCTTCCCTCAATCTAACTTACGGGAAAAGATTTTTGAACTGCGACCCATTATTCATTAAACGGTTGTATCTGGTTTATTTCTGGAACTTTGACTACACAGAAACATGCTTTTAGAGTAATACATATTTTTCTTTTATTCAGGTGAATACACAGGTCTTATTTCCAGTTGCTATTTTTCATGTTCTGGTGTGTGATGTTGCTATCTCTTCCCATTTACTCTACAGGTACCATCACTTTACTGGTCTGATCTGGCGTCAGGCCCATTGTTCATCAGTAGACCAATTGTGCTCCTCCTCTGGGGTTCCTGTCCCTCTATTCAGCTTGTGCAAACAGGAAATGATCCGTCTTTAGAAACACCAGTGGACCTCAGAGGCATCTGAGTCGGCCTTCACCTAGCGTTCCTGGTCACACGAGACTAAATAAAAGGCCCTTCTTTTAAGCTCTGGACAATATCAATGTGTCATCAATACATATGTTAAATTACATCTCAGAAATGCAAAGCCACCAGGACTCACCTCTTCTGTTACATTATGTGTTGGGTTGAATCCATCACACATCTTGAATACTTCTCGATTCTCCTTTTTGTGGCTCCACATGGCCTGGTTGGTCCTCCATTGTGTCTGTGCCCATTTGATGGTGGCTGCATTCTGGAGGGTGTAGTGGGTCAGCTTAGGTGTTGAAGGACAGGCGGCAGTTTACATGCACCCGGCGTTTGCTTAACCCTTTGATTAGGGTGTAGGAATGTCAGCTATGGGGGGATTTAGCCATCCCGACAGCATCGTTTGACACCTCAGCAATCTGTCACGGCAGAGTGGCGGAGAACTAACAGTCTGCTCGCTCTGGACACAAAGGTGGTTCGCTTGCTCAGGGCCCATTCTGTCCAAAAATTGAGCTCCTTTATATTTTTTTCTTCTGCCATGTGTAAATATTGTCAATGGAGCGACGTGACTCAAATAGAAAATGCTAAATAGCTCTGTGAAAGCAAAAGAAAGACTCTGGATTCCAGAGCCAGTAATAAATGACTCAAAACTGCTCATTCAGCTAAGCTTGGGGCATCGAGTTTATTTTGTTATTTGAACTAACATCATGAACATTGTTGCAAAGGATGAGGTGTTTAAATAACATGGCAAATGAAATGATGTTACTTTAGCTACATCTTTTTTAATTTAGCACATACAGATGGTTCTGAGCTAATAAAAAATGTAAAGCTGTGCTTTCCTCTGGAAAGCAATTTTAAACACTAAATTACAGTATTTGGAGTGTGATATAAAACATACCATTCTGGAGCTTTCCAGACAGCTTATGGATTTACAATAAAAATACACTTTCCAGTAAAATGCTCCATGCTGTTGTTACTTGATGGAAGACAGTAGTAGTAGACTTGCATACAGAGGCAATCTACCTGAAGAGTGTTATCAGACTTCACTATCACACAAACCAAAACACTTGTTCCAACAGAATTTATGTACATTTGTAAAGTCTGGTAACACTTTACAATAAGGTCCCATTAGTTAACATTGGTTAAAGGGGTCATATGATGCGATTTCAATTTTTCCTCTCTCTTTGGAGTGTTACAAGCTCTTGGTGCATAAAGCAGATCTGTAAAGTTGCAAAGACTAAAGTCTCAAATCCAAAGAGATATTCTTTATAAAAGTTAAGACTTGTCCATGCCCTCCTAAAACGCCTCGTTTAAACATGGCCCCACGTCTACGTCACTGTGTGGGAAGATTTGCATGATGCCGCCCAAACGTTCACGCAAAGAAAGAAGGCGTAAATTTTATTCTCGCTGTAATGCAACAAATGCCTCGTTTGTAATGGGTTTTATTGGTTTTGTCTCGTCGTGCCGGGAGACGGCATCACAGTATGGTAAGCGGCGTAACATTTCCGTCACACGCTTGAGGCATTCGGCCAATCACAATGCACTGGATAGCTGGCCAATCAGCATACACCTCGCTTTTCAGAACGATGAGCTTTGTAAAAATCGACGCGTTTCAGAAAGGCGGGGCATAACGGAGAAACAATAATGTACATTATGTGGAAAATGATGTGTTTTTTTAACCTTAAACCGCATAAACACATTTCATTACACCAAATACACAAAATAATGTTCTTTTTAGCAACGTCATATGACCCCTTTAATTCATTAACTTCATAATGCGCAATACATCTGTTAAAGTATTTATTAATCTTTGTTAATGTTAATTATTAAAAATGCAACTGTTCATTGTTCATGTTGGCTCAGGTCAAATAATATGAACAGATATAACTTTGGGTATAAATAATGTATTAGTAAATGTTGAAATTAACATTAACAAAGATAAATAAATGCTTCAGAAGTTTATCCTTGTTAGCTCATGTTAACTTACTGAACTAATCTTAACAAACGGAACTTTATTGTACATTGTTACCAAAAGTCCTAATGTCCTGTTCACACAATGGATTGAATGGAAAAGATGCAGATTTAAATTTTAACTTCACTTGGCTTAACAACGGCTGCTTTTTCAGCACACAATGCTACAAAAAAAAAAAAAAAAAAAAAAAAAAAACAGCAAAACCTAGCATAACAAGTTAAAGACAGCCGTTTAGCGAACGTTTATATGTGAAAACTGTTAACAGTGGCATAACGAAACACAAAAATGCAGTCTGTGTGAACCGGACCTACGATTGCTACAAATAAACTTCATGTAGAAATAAAACTTAGAAGCTTACCTGACTCCATATATGAAAGCATTTCCTTTCAATAATGCAGTCATTCAGAATTATTAAACACTTCTGCAAACCTATAGTCTTAGGTTCAAAGGTAAATTTAAAATAAGTTCATCCAAGCTTGTCTGTAAGAGTAACACTGCTTTTGACAAGAGCTGCAACATACAAATGCAAAACAATCCTAATATGACAAATTCTCCTAAGACAATATGGTATGGATGAATTAAAACATCATTATATATATCATACTGCACCAGTACCATATGTGCCATTGGCTTTACTCCATCGGTTGTAACGATGATTAATATTAGATCAATATTTTTATGGTACTATCATTAATAGCTGTGATCTTTGGCATGCATTTCAACATTTTATGCCAAGTTATGATGTACTTAAAAGGTCACCAAAGTTCAAAGCCAATAATAATATGCAGTTTGCACAATCAATACAGTCAGGCTGGAGGACGGATGTGCTATTCTTTGCCGAAAATGTCCCTTGCATGTGTACCCTGCATGCTATGGTTTTCTTCACTTTGACAGGAATAATGTACACAATAATAATAATAATAATAATAATAATATACTGGGATTAAAAAAAGAGTAAAAATGTGAAGTATCATAACCCAAATATAATTGTGCAACACGTTTGTATTAAACATTAATAGGCCCCTTTAAGATATTGAAGGACATTTAATCTGCTTTAAATTCACTTGGAGACACGAATGCCAGATGAGCACAGGGTGATTGCTAGGCAATGCAGCCCAGTCCACTACCATCAAAGGTGATGTGCCTGCCTCAGCAGTCCACAGGTCCTGAGTGACAAGTGAATGGCACTTGAATTCATACCTCTGATATTTAAAAATAAAAGCCCAGCCAAGTCAGCTCCTGCCCTAAATTCCCAAAGAGCATGCCATCTCCTATGTAGTCCCATAAAGGTGATAGGACAGCCCCTTATTCACAGGATTCCTGTTTCCTGGAGAGGTGTTATCTCAAAAGAATGCTGCATTATCCAAAAGGCAAGCAGCTAACCACTTATACAGCGTTACCTGGTAATGTCATGGGCCAAAAAGTAACACTTTTCCAAAACATTTTGGGCTATTTGTGGAGAACTACGCGAAGTCGGCCGGTCGGATCATCATGACAGTGGATCGGAGAGAGTAGCTGGGGCCTTTGAAATAGTGCCACTTGATTCCATTGAATTTTCCAACATGTTGGCCTTGTCTGTAGTACACCCCGTTCAGGTTGGATGGGCCACAGGCATCGTACCACCATCCTAAAACACAAACATTTACAATTGGGAACAACTGTTTATACACTTATATATAGTCAGTATTGCATTATCCTGAAAGAACGCTAACAAATGCAATACCACACAATATAAATCATATATAAATTGTAACAGTCATTTTAATTACTTTTCTTATAAAAAATATAACCACATCACATAAAAAGCCACTTCTAACTGCTCTGCGTTAAGTAGGTTTCTGAAATTAGGTGCCTAAACATTAGTGCTTCTATTTGTGTGATACTATTTCGGTGATTATTTTATATGATCAGCTATTTTTATTGCTGACAGTCTAGTAGTGTATTCGTCAGGCTATGCAGGCAACTTTGAAGCTGGATCCAACAGTATGCAGGTGCTATGTGGTCACTGTGGTATAGGTGAGGAGTGAGTGGACCGGTGACCTTTAAAGTATTCAGGGAAAGAGGATATAAATACTTGAAGGTAACATAGAGAAAATAGGATGTGCCAATCACATTGTTAAACATAATTGTTTAATAATAACAACAACTGATTTTTATGTTTGAGAAGTCTCTTCTGTGGATTTCGAAGGGTTATTTCTGTTAATGCTTGCCTTGACAGATGTGCTTTTAATAGCATGTCCCTCATACTGAGGGATGACCTGATATGATGGGCTTGAAATCTCCCAAAATGAAAATCATGTCATCATTTACTCATCTTTATGTCTTTTAAAAGCTGTGACTTTCCATGGAACACAAAATTATTTATAGTAAAATGTACATGTTTTTTTTTTCCATACAATGAAACTGAATGATGACCACGGCTTCAAAGCAAGATTTTTAGTTCAACAACTTTTTTTTCAGCAGATTTCAGTCTGCTCCTCACATAAAGCTTTCATATGGTTTCATAAGACTCAAAATATAGCCATAAAAAGTAATATTATGATGCTTTTTGGCCATTTTTGGAGCTTGACAGACCTTGGTCCCTCTCCATTTTCACACTTTACACACAAAAAAGAAACTTTTATCGGTTTGAAACAACATGAGGACAAATTAATTATATTTAAAGCTGGAATACTGCATTTTGCCTCCAAGTCTTATCATTTAGCTTTAAGATCTTATATATATATCAATTGCTAAAAACACTGCAGAAAACAACAATACTGCAAATATAGTTATTTTTATCTATCATATATATATATGACTCTGGCCGTTCAAACCAGGTTTGTGACAGGACATTTTTAGTATTTTAAGTATGTTAATCAGTATGTTAAGACTAAGAGCATTTTAAAATAAACATTTAATTGTTAAAATTGGGAAAATTATTTGTAGATGGCAAGGAAAGACAACATTAACTTTGAAATTACTAGTTAGCTTTGTTTCCTTCTCATGATGAGAGTGTTTTTATTGTTTGTTTTAAGCAAAATATAAAAATGGTCCAGACTTCAAGAGGAAAACTCTGAACCCCAATACAATATCTTTTCTGTCACATGGCCTTATGCCTTACATATGTATCTAAATGTAAAAAATAATAATAGCTTGATAAAACATCTGATCTTATCTCTTAATATTCATATATAATATTCATATACCCTATATTTTGTTTTAGCTTTATTTAAATGACCAAAAAGTATTTTTTATAGTTTTAGTTAACAATAACAACTCTGAGTCACTGTACAACTTCTCTGTGCATTAAATACAATTCATCTGGCCTGTTGATTTAATTAGACACGTACACACAAAATGTGCCCACAGAGTGCATGTTTTGGCATGTCTCATTCCCATGAAGAACTTGAGCTTCACTTCACAGGCTCAAATGCCAGAGAGATCTGTGACATTTTAACAGCCATCCGTGAGCCAAATACGCTGCCCTTTGTCACGGCTCTCACTGACACAGTAAACTGATTGGATGCTGATTCTACTTGTTACTATGCTTTCGCATCTCAGGCCTACAGCTGGCCAGTGTCCTTGGTTGTCTCTAGGGTATGTGTTTTATAGGCTTGTTAACCACACTGCATAACAAGAAATGAGGCAACAGAATGATAAAAGTTTGATTTTATGATATAAACCAAAGCTGGAACCAATATGTCTTTCATTAAAGCACTTACGCTACAGAATTTATAGGGTTCTATTTTGAGACTGACAATTTCAAACATTTCCGCACTGTTTTTTCATGAAGAACTTTCATTAAAAATCTTTCAGTGCGACAGTACTCCGTTTTATTAATTGCATTGCTTAAATCCCCTTACACATACAGCAGATTTATGCATGTCATCCTACTGTAAGGCTCACATTTATTCTCATCCTGATATTAAATGTCTCAGAGATAAATCACTGTCAGGGCCTCATTTAGCATTTGGCCACCAAGGACGGAGAAGGTGATGGCAGATTCGGGTGGACTGGATCTCTCTCGATGTCTGGTTTATTAAATGATGCATTAAGTGATTTGAGACCTGAGAGCTTCCTGTATGAAAAGCAAAAGTTGTCTGTGGTCTGCATCCACTAGGAGAGTCTGTGGGAGTCCTATACAGACCTACAGATACTTGGTGCTCAGCCCATTCTGGTAGACTCCTCACAGGATGTGAAAGTCCACAAAGACATCGTGCACAAAGCTTTATGCAGCTCCTCTGCCAAAAAGAAAGCATGAGGTGGTCCTATACGCAGCAGTTAGCTTTGTACATAGACATAGACAGTGTTCAGACTGGAACTTACTGTCTGCACACTTCACAAAGGTCTTAATTCACAATGGGACAAGAGTGGATGTAGACCGTAACATTCTAGTAGCTCTTAGTAGTTTATTTTAATTATTTATTTTTTACTGAATAATTCATGTCGTTCGGTAAAATTAGCAGTTCTTAAACGTCAGCTTAAGTTTTATTGATCTGAATAGAACACTTTACAGAAATACGGTGTCTACAGCACAAAACATTTAGAGTGATCAGTGTAATTTTGATTCCTGAACAAATGACTCTTATGAATCAGTTCTTATTAATGAATCAAAAGCATACTGCATGGCAAGTTCTTTTTAGTGAATCAAAAACACATGAATGATTCATTTGCAGTGGTTACTGATTCAATCAGACTCACTTTCTGAATTGCAAGTTATTACTTTAGAGATAGTATCATTACTTTTCATGTGTATCAATAATCCTAACAATAACAGAAATATAAAACACAAAATAACAAAAATATAAAAATCGAATCTAAAATAATTATAATTATCTAAAGGATTAATAAGAAGTCGCTGTGTAAGCACACCTTTTGAAATAATTGTTTTAAATGTATTTCTTCTGTGTAGGTCAGAGATTATCTCATCATTTAGCAACAGACAGCTGAGGACAGCAAAATGCAACAAGATTTGCATTTCGTTTTTACAAAAAAAGAATCTTTAACAGAAATGTTAAGAACGGTCCCTTACAATCATTCAAATTCTACATGTTGCCAGTAATCTGCACTAGCTGCATATCATTTAAAAAAAAAGGATATGTTCTACTTCTCCAGTTGTACTATAATGTATTTAAAAGCAATGACAGTATCATCTTGAGCATCATAGCTAGTGTATCACTGGAACAAGAACAAGCTTGTGCGGCTGGAATAGATGACTTAAATGGCTACATTCATCAGGAGTGAGCTAAAACAGAGGTTTTCAGCCTTACCCCCACTGAGCATCAGCGCACACTTGCATGTGCAGTTGTCATTGTCCATGTCTTTAGTGCTGAAGTCAGCGCCGTGGATCGCCAGACTGCTCTGTCTGCCCGCCGTCCCGCTGTGGCTCTTCAGGAACAACCTGAGACAGAGGGAGGACAAGGAAGAAGAGAGGAAATAAAAACACAGAGAAAGACTTTTTAAAAAAGGAGGCCGTGGACAAGAAAAATGACTGCCAGAAACATCCGTGATTGATTTATGCAGATTACCTTCACACTCATGGCCCATTCTTTAGAGTTAGCATCAGTTTTTAAACATATTGGCCGGGAAACTCAATACTATTTAATACGGACAACAAAGCACACGTAGAAACCACACAGAGTGTGTAACTCAACTCCAGCCATCTACACTTGAAGATTTCAACCGCAAATTCACAACCCTCACTTAATGCAGGCTTGGGTCCAAATGCTTAATTTTATGCAGCACTGACGCCCAGAATTTGGTGGTTGAAGTGCGGCTTTTGATTTTCCCATCTTGCTTCATTGTGTCACCAAAAGTTCTGCCCAAGGTCTTAACCTGAGGGTTATTACCCCTCCGACTATTTTATTTAATTTTTTTATCCAAGTGTCATACTCAAAGCCAAAAAACTATACTGCATGGGCATGCCAGCAATGAAAGGAACACCAAATGAAACATGTTCGGCCCCACAAAATCATTTCCTGAAAGTCATCGCCACAAATAAGATCAGACAGTCGAGAGTGAGCTTTATAAATCTCTTCTAAGATGAATCTTGGAAAGCGACTTGGAAAATATATTTTTGGTTACACTTTTAGGGATGTTCACAGAGGCCAAGTGATGCAACAACAGGCTTTAGAGGCCAAGTGTGTGATTGTCGTTCTTATTGTTAAGTGGTATTTTTTTCATTTAATTTTTTGTTCCTCACACTTCATCCATCTCATAGACTCTCTTATAACAAGCTGTCTAATCATTTTAAAGCCACCCACATCAAATATCAGTTGCAAACTTTGTTCGGTGACATCATGTTCATTAAGATGAAGTGCATTGTTGCGGTCTCTAAACAAAGACAAATTAACTGGTTGTCTGTGGTTTCCGGATATGCTAGATGCCAAACCAACGTATTTTGTTCTTCGCTGACACTAAAGACTACATTTTAACAGCCATTTTATAAGACACAAACACAATACTGATCTTACTCATTCAGAATGACTGCATGCTTCATTTACTATACACAGTTTCTGTCATACTGTGTAAGATGTCAAACTAGTCAAGCTTCAGTTTTTATGAGGAAATAAACTTTCAGGACGTCCTCAGAGTTTGAACAGCAGACACAAACATGTTGCTGCATAATTTGACTTGCAAACTGCATTTCTGTAATGAGTTCACTACTTCATAGACCTTAGCCAAACACCAGATTTAATTTTTTTATTCATTTAAACTATGATTTAAAAAAAAAAGTTTTTATTACAATTAAAATCACTATTCCAACATACCTAGCCAAAATGCAAAACCATTATAAAAAATTTAACCAAATACTTTATATTCAATATAGATTAAGAGCATAAGAAGTGTACATTAAAACACTGACACTGGCCAAAATATAAAAGTTATTTCCAAAACAAATTTTGTCTTATGCAGTGATCGCCACAGAGTAAATCACCACAAAAACCAGGTGAATAAACACACACCTACTCATCTCCAGTCAGTGTAGTTTCAAGTAGGCCAATTAAATGTGTCCCAATTCACAAAATAGCAACAGACTTAAGTCCTGTGCGTGCAGTTACTGTTGTCCCACTAATGTCATGTCATGCTATGGCCTTTGTTTCAATCTGAACTCAAACATCTGCATGGCCAACACAGAATATCCTTCCTCTAGGCTTGTTTTCATCAGCCTCAATGAACTATTGCTGAATCAGTCCAAGCCTTATTTGGAAAAGCTGTGATGAAAACTGAGAATGGAATGAGATTTATTTGGTGTTGCACAACAGCACCCTGAGGGAAGTGTTCTGGTGTCCGGTCATTTTATTTTCATAATCTGAAATGATGGCAGTTTGGTAATGTTCCTCTCCGGATATGTGATGTTTATTCTGAGTAAAAGAGGATGTATGGATGTGTTTTTCCTAGTTGAAATCATGTTCATCAGATGAACATGCTCCAAAACCTAAACTATTATTCTGGAACACAGACTAAAAGAGGGCAGGAAGCAAATACACAGTCCTTTCACAGTACAGCAGCTGAAAAACAAAAACCTGAGTGCTTTAAGTCACACGTGCCATAGGGGTCCATACGTCAGAGCCTCTTGCCAAAGACTGAAAATAAAAAGCCTTATACATTGTTTTCTCTCTGCAGCTGCGGGACATGTCAAAACCCATCCTAGTTTTGTGTGATGTGTGAGGCCCACTACTGAGAGGAACCCACGGTTAGCTCCTGCCGTACCCCTTTAATCTGTCACATCCCATCTGAAACATGCAACGATCCTGCAGCGGTAATATTTCTTTAATTTGGTAATGTTGCTGTCACACACACACACACACACACACACACACTAAATGGATGCTGGGATGCTAGTTTCCCCACCAAACTTTTAAACTACTGTAGATTAACCAGCATGACTTACTAGGTGAATCAGCTCCACATGAAAACACTATGGTGGCACAAATCAGCCTGAACTGAGCTGATTTAAGTGGTTCTTTTCAGCAGGGATATACACACTCTG